AACAATTGAAGCCGACGGAAACAGTCCGGACAGGAGTGGTGGTGGTCAAGGTCCCTGGGCTCGTCAGCAGACAGAGAGGAATCGTGTAAATGAGCGGCGTAGGTACAAACAAAATTGGGAAAATGCACTAGACAACAAAAAAGGAAAAATACATAAAATGGAAAAGAAGAAAACTATGAAACAAAGTAATAGAAGAAGGAAGGAAGAGAAAAAGAAGAGAAATAGAGTTATGCGCAGTTGTTGTAGTGTGACTAAGAAATGTACATCATGTCAATGTTGGCACTGCTAACACCCCTCTCCTCCACCTAAGTGGGACTTTGCGGCGCCTCATTGACAAACCAACATGCAGTCTCACTGTCGAGCAGTGTATGGCAGACATTGCACACTCGATTGGGACGCTGTTTGGGACCGCTCTTCACCACCTTCGAGGTGCAGTCGCCGCAGAAGATGCGACCACAGTGTCTGCAGTTGATCTATGGTTGAACAGTGGAACGGAAAGTAAAACAAACAGTTAGCGTCTTTCGCAAAACAATGAAACCAACAACAGCACGTACCTTCTCCTTCTTTGAGTTGAAGACCTTCTTGCAGGAGTTGCACTCGAGAACGTCATCCTCGTACTGCCACCGAACTTCAGTGTCTGCCTGACGGATCTTCTCCAGTTGCACCTACCAATACAACGAATAACTTAGCTCCCCAAAAACAAACTCTTTTTTAACCTCCTTACCTGAAGTGACTGCGACAACTTCACAAAGTCTCGCTGCACTGCTTCACTGTTGTCCAGTTCAACTTGTAAACTTTGAACTTTATTCTTCAACCCCAGTATTTCACTTTCAGCTTTTGTCTGCGCAGAAAAATGGTCACATTTTGAATACGTTAATTCTTGTCATAATCATTCACAACAATGCCTCTACCTTGTAGTTTGCCAACTCCGCACACTGGTGCTCCAGCTCAGAGATTCTCGAGCCAGAGCTAATCGTCAGCTGATTAAAGTTGGCCTTCAGCTGGTCGAGATCTCGTTGAGTGTCAATGTAGCGTTTCTTGTAGTCAGAGAGCTCTAGTTTCTTTGACTCCAGACTGGTGTTGAGGACGTCCGTCTCCTGGGCAAAGTTCTCCTCAAGATTCTTATTTGACTGTTGCTCGCCCATGAGTTGCTCTTTGAGAAAGACGTTCTCCGCTTTCAGTGTGTCTTCAATTCGTTCTTTTGCGACCAGTGCTGTTATTAGATCTTCCCTTTGTTTCAGCGCGTACAGCTGCAGATCGTCCTGGGCTTGAGGGAGGTTTATTTCCTCAGACATCAGCTGAGCCGCCCTGGCGAGAGTCTTCCCAAGGAGAATTTCATTTTCATGGTTCACCCTTGTCAGCTCCTTCTTCAGCGATTCGACCTGGCTAATCAGCTCTTGTACTAGATCGTTGGACTTTTTCTCAAAGTGATTAAACTTTGAGGTCAGCTTGGCAATCACCTTCTGCCCCTCGTCCACCTTTGTCGACAGTGCCCGCGTCTCTTGTTCCGTCTTTTTGGCCTCTTCGTTGTACTTTTCCTCCAACTCTGCTCTAAACTTTTGCTCCTTCTTCAGCTCCTCTTTTAGCTGCTTGATCGTCTTCTCGTGACTGCTGATCTCGAGGTGAAGGACGCCTTCGTGGTACTGCACTTCTTGCAGTTGCATCTCGTAGTTGTTGCACATCTCACAGGCCATTGGCTTGTGAGCAGTACTGGCGGGTCGAGGTGGATGAGGACAAGTGCAGGCGGCGTTTGACGCTGTGGCGGCTGTTGGCGTCGATGTGCCACCTGGTTCCGTCGTCTGTGCGGCAGGAGCCGATTTTGAGGAGGCCACTTCAGCATCGGCAGTTGCCTTTTCAGATCCGCCTTCGCTGATGCCATTCTCCTCCAGTGACAAGTTGGATATTGAATGTATTTTGTCCAAACTAAAAATGAATTTGTTAAAGCTGTACTGTAAAATTTATATTAAACTTACCTTTTATCAATAATTTCAATCGTTGGAATGTCAGGTGTGGAGCCCATTTTGTTTAGTCTAAAATGATCAGTGGTCAATGGTGCGCAAAGTGGTTGAAAGCTCCAGTAAACAAAGATTGACTATATTTGCTTTTGCTGGCGACGATGAGTCAGTTATTTGCCTGGCTCACATAACGACAAAGAGAGCAGACGATAATCGTGTTTGTTACTTGTGACCTCCAATGAGCTTCAATTTCTGTTTGTTCTGGTGGCGTTGATGGTGCAAGTGATAGTGATTTGCACTCCTCGTTTGACTGTTCCCCCTCTTCCACAGCTGATTTACTTCGTTTCTATAGCATCATCATCATCATCATCATCTGGAAGCAGTACGTCGACAGGCGATAAGGGAAAGGGCATCAGATTGCATTGAGGGTTCGTGTGCACGGATGATGTTGGTAGCTGAAGAGGAGGAGGAGGCGACAGAGGCAAAACAGAGACAGAAAAACATCAACAAAGGCGGAAAGTTAACTTAAGTAAAGGCAAACAATTGGCGAGAGAACCCCTTTCTTGACGAAAACTTCGGCGATGTCTTTTAAGTTTGAGGTAGACAAGGGCTAGGCCCACACAAAGGATCCAGAGTGGAAGGTTGTGGGTGGACCCGTGGACGATGGGACGATTGATGGCCAGGAAAATGATGCAGGCTGCATCAGCTGAGTTCTCGAAATGAGTTTCGCAAAGAAGTCCTTTCGTGTGGATGTCTGATGCACTCGCAAATGACAGTACGACAGCTGAAATCGGATCAACCCACAATTGTTGGATTCTTTATTCTTTCAATGTTAATGACTGGAGAATGGAAAAGATACTGTACAAATGTGCAAGCAAAGTAGGAGCCAAATATTGCTGACTACTTTTATCATCATCACCTCTACTACGCACTGCTACTCGTCTTTTCTTGAGCGAAACTTCTGGTAGTAGCTCTTGGTAAAGTCGGCCATCACGTCGGGAATCGACTCAAACATTTCTGAGGTATAGACTGCCGGTGAGCCGGAGAAGACGGCGAATGCGGGCACATGAGAGGAAGAGGGAAGTACTGAATTGTCGGCTATGAAGGCGCCGTCCTTGAGGACACAGTACCGCCCTATGACACAGTTCTTGCCAATGTAAACGTAATTGCCGATCGAGGTGGCGTTGACTATGCTTCCCTCGCCGATAAAGACGTGCTCGCCAATGTTCATTGGGTTAAAGGCCACTCTGGATCATTGAAAATGGTGTTGGAGTAGATTTAATGAACAAATACTGAAACACACTAAACGTCAAGTCAAGCTAAACAATTACCCTTTTGTGAACTTCTTAAAGGGTGGCCTAATGACCGCATTCTTGCTGATCACGCAATAACGCCCCACTTTTACATTTGCCAAATCTCCTCGGATGATGCAGCCTTCTTGGACGATTGTCTGAATATGAAAAAACATCCCCATTGAATTATATGAGTACCACCACAGAAACAAACACCGGCAAAACTTACCTTTCCTAGGATCATGATGTTCTGTGGGCCACAGAGAACCGACTTTCTGCACACTTTATTGCCGCTAGCCGTCTCAATGTAGTCGGCCTGATTGTAGAACATATC